TGGGTGAGTGTCTGAACCCCCAGAAGGTGCAGCAGTTCAGGTTATAGGGTTACAGGTCATTCACAGGGTTATAGGTTATAGGGTTACAGGCTATAAGGTTACAGGTTGTAAGTTACAGGTTATAGGATTTCAAGTTACAGGTCACAGGTCACTCCCAGGGTTATAGGGTTACAGGTTTTAGGGTTATAGGTTGTAGGGTTTCAGGTTACAGGTTAGAGTCACAGGTCACTCCCAGGGTTACAGGTTATAGGGTTACAGGTTATAGGGTTACAGGTTATAGGGTTACAGGTCACTCACAGGGTTATAGGGTTACAAGTTATAGGGTTTCAGGTTACAGGTTATAGGTTACAGGTCACTCACAGGGTTGTAGGGTTACAGGTTGTAGGGTTTCAGGTCACAGGTCACTCCCAGGGTTACAGGTTATAGGGTTACAGGTCACTCACAGGGTTATAGGGTTACAAGTTATAGGGTTGCAGGTTGTAGGTTACAGGTTATAGGTTACAGGTCACTCCCAGGGTTACAGGTTAGAGGTCACAGGTCACTCCCAGGGTTATAGGGTTACAGGTTACAGGTCACAGGTCACTCCCAGGGTTACAGGTTGTAGGTTACAGGTTGTAGGTTACAGGTTAGAGGTCACAGGTCACTCCAGGGTGCAGGACGTGTGCTGGTTTACTGCTCTTTGCTGCTGAATGTCACTTTAGAGGCAGAAGGAGTCAGGGCTGAGTGTCCCTGCACGTGCAGCCTCTGTGACAAAGACACTGACCCACGTTGGTTTGGCTGAAATGTGACAGAAAATGCAAAGAACCAGGATGAGAAGCCAGGCCAGCAAACCCTGCCAGTGCTTCTGTGGCTCTGCACAATTAACCTTGGACTACAAGGAAGGTGTTAATTGTGAGCAGCAATCAGAAAACATCCACGTGGAATAAAGCCATGGGCACCCAGAACATTCTGCTGCTCTGGGGGTTTTTACTTTTCATTGGTTCCCAAGAGCCAGAGCAATTACCCCATACCCATCTTATCCCAGGATTTCTGCTGTGTGCCTGGGAATGAGAATGTCTGTGTTTGTACTTCCAGGTTTGATTACACCAATCAAATATGTACAAAATGTATTTTATAAAACAATTAACATATAAGCCAGTTTATGTAGAACTGAAGTCCCTGAAAAAGAAAACCTTCCACCTATGGGTACATAATGAATTTATCTGTTTGATTTGCCACAAAATAATTTTTGGGATTTTTGTTTAGTTTTTTTTTATTTTAAAATTTTTTTGTTAAAACTTCTGATTGGGAGAGTATTCATTTGGTGGTCATTTGACACAGGAAGTAACTTTAAAATCTTTAAAAAGTTTATAATGCTCTGGTCACGGTGGAAAAAATGCTTTTGTATTTGGCTGCTGTATCTTTGACAACAATGGAGGGTTACTACAACAGTGCCCAGCTCAGAGCTGCCATTAATCACCCTCTGTGATTAATGCAGCTCCACAGGAATGCTCTGCTGCTAAACCAAGAGCAGCAGATTTTCAAATTGCCCCAGTTGATCAATATGTGTGCCCTTCCCTGGCAGGAAAGTGAATAAAGTGAATAAACCCCCTGGATGCTCAGCACCCTGTGCCCCCACCCTGCAGCTCCCCTCTCCCAGGAGAATTTATTTGGAATAAACCCTGCCCAGGGCTCCAGCTCCCACCCTCCCTCTGTGCTGTGCCTTGGGAAGGTTTTCCTGGAGCCCCAAATCTCTGACTGCAGGACATCGATGTTGGGGCTCCCCTCTGGCACCTGCTGGGCCCTCCAGTTCCCCTGGAACCCAAAGTTTTTGGGAGTTGTGCAGAATTCTGCCTGCATCCCACCTTTAATCCCCACTGATTCCTAGGAGGCTGCTTAGCAAAATCCTGATTTATTCCTTGAGGTGTTCATGCCATGAGCTTCTGGGAGTTTCCTGCAGCTTTCATGGCATCCATTGCTGTGTTGATGGGTTTTTTCCTAAACTCCCATTCACTGCTTTTCCAGCATCAGGAAATATCAGAATGCCGTGAAAAATAAATGTATAGCCTCTCCATTGAAAGTGAAGCTGGATGTGTCTTTTCCAGGAGCTTAGGAATTCAAATGTAAAGGAATTTAAATGCCTGGTATATATATTTTTTTAATTAGTCAGAAGAATTCCAAGCCAACATTGCTTTAATGTGTTTTGGAGCAATTGAGAAACGTGGCAATTTAGTTTTTGGCTTTTCTCATTAAAAGAATAGACTGATTGGATTTTATAAATTTTCCCAGTTAATGTATGAAATTAGAATGTTCTCCGGGGAAGCAATGGGTATTACAATAGTAATCAACATAGAAAAGAAAGGTTATTATATCTATTTATTGATTGTGGAGGATTTCTAGCAGGGTTGGAGCAGGGTAATGTGCTTTGACATAAGAAAATAGAACACCTTGGTTTGTAATTGAATGAATGTTCGTGTTCCTTTTGGATCTGGGAGGGAAATGGCTCCTGTAGGTGCAGCTCATGTTGGATTGCACTGAAATTCCTTGCTGCTGGCAAATAATAACTCATGGTAAGATGTAGATTAGAAGAAAAATTTATTTCTCTATCACAAATGACTAATAAATTGCTTTGCACAGAAAGGAATCAATATTTTTAAAATGGAGCAACTGGAAGCCATCCAGGACCGAGTTTATTCTTTTCTGCCAAACCATCTCTGCCGTGCCCATGTGCTCATTTCCACCCCTGCCCTTTCATTTGAGGCTCCTCAGTTTTGCTCAGGCACTGGGAGCATTTCCACTGCTCTGAATGCTTTTCAGAGGTTTAAATAGCAGAGATTTTCTGATGTGGAAAAGCCTTTCTGAGCTTGCCTTTGTGGGTGTGATTTTTGTTTGGCATTTGGACAATCCAGACCCAAATGTGAGTCTGGAGATGGGAGCTGAGGCTGGAACTCATTTCTGCAGGGTCCCAGCTTGTCTCACAGAAAACAAGATCTTCCATGGAATTGTCAGAACTGCCCAGAGATCATTTTTTATTTCTGATTTTAAAACCCAAACCCTAAAGAATTTCTGTAAATGCTGGGGAAAGGGCTGGAGGAGAAAGAGGAATGTCAGTGTTGTAATTGTACATTGACTTTTTAAATTGAGATCTGACACTTGAAATTTCCTGTTTGCAAACAAAGATTTAAGTGTGTAAGACTTCAACTACTGCAATGCTCATCTGTAATAAGAAGATGGAATAAAACTGATGAGAGAATCAGAAAATTACATTTTTTAAAGGAGGCTGTGTGGCTGCAGTACTGCAAATAAATAAAATCCACAGAAGAGCAAATCTGTTGCTTCCAGTTAAAACTGATTCAGCCTGGGGAGGGAATATCTCTACAGAATTATGTATCTGATATAAAAAAATCCAGATTTGTTAACACTCTCCTTTGTGTTTGTATTTCCCCAGGAGTGCAAGTTCTGCTTTCTTCAACCCTTCCGTGGTCCCTGCTGACATCCACCACAAAGCCCGTGGTAGGACCATGGCAGAGCTCTGCCCACAGGGGCAGAATGTGCCTAAATCCCAGTCCCGGACTCTCCTCCCTGCTTCATTCTCCTCAATGGCACTTGTTTGCATACCTCAGTTAGAAATGCTTTTGGATATGCATAGGCACAAGTTCCAGCTACTGTGGGAAGATGGGAACACAAAGGAAATTAATTGTTAAATAAAATATTTACTATGTTTAAAAGGAAAAAGAAGTAGCAGCTTCTGAAATATTGCTATTAACTTTGAAAATATAGGAGGCTAAAAACCATTTTGATAATTTTTCCTTTTGTTTCCTTTAAAATTAGGAAAAAAAAATCCCACCACAATAAGAAAATTGGCTTCCTTCTGTTTAGTAGAAGTATAATGAAATAATGAAAACTGATTTTTCATATGGAGAATGCAGCAATTACCTGTTGTGCTGTGTTCTCA